TCTGTCTATACACCTTATAAGACAATTTAGGTGATGGCATGTTGGTTTTCTGCTATTGAACTGTTTTCTAATAATGTTGTGTTTAATAAAGTGAAGGAAGGAGAAAAAAAACGTTTCCCTAGCAGTTTTAAAAAATGTCCCTATGTAATCCGATTAATCGATTAATCGTGTCGAGACCCCATCCGATTAATCGATTATCCAAATAATCGTTTGTTGCAGCCCTAGTGACGATCCTCATTAAATGTCACATTTCTGAAAGCCCTACTTCTCATTTCCACAGCGTTGCAAATCAGAGCCGAGAGGAACAGATGAACGTACTGAGAGCAGAGAGGACGAAGGGCGAGAGACTTGCAGTACCAAAGCCAAATGCCCCCCCCCCCCCCCCCCCACACACACACACACACATGGAAGTACTGGAGATGCTCCCCTACAGGAAACACGTTCTTTGGTCTAAAAATGGCTGGATTTGTAGCCAAGTGCTTTCTGAGAAGACATCTCTAAGTTTCCTTTAACAGTCTGGACTGGGACAGAAGTGCACAAATAAAACGCCGGTTTTGCGGTCTGGTCTGCTTGCCTCTCAGCTTAGTCACATGATGGCATCACATGTTCCCAGACATCCAGCTGAGCTACTTCCTGTTCTGTGGTCACATGAGGATTCATTCACTTTACTGTGGCTGTTTGACTCCCATGGAGACCATGGTCAACACCATTCTGTGAATGGTGAAACTCCAACACGTACAGATGTACACACTGAACATGTAAATAGGTGGTTGTTACTCTGTCTTAGATCTAAAACATGGCTGAACTGGCCTGCTGCCGTTGGTTTACAGGAAATCGCTCCTAGTTAGCATTGCAAAGTGGCTCCCGCCTCTCTGTTTCTGTTGTTAGTCCAGTACTATAGTCAGAAGTGATGACTAGAGGATGTCTGACTCGACACCTGTAGATATTTAACTAACTAAGCACCAGGTGTACTCCGCTTCATATTTATTACCCACAAGTGAAAAGAAGCATGTTAATTATTCATAACAGGCTTTACAATTAACTTGTCCTTTGTGTAGAAAAAAGAAAACGTTTGTTGTAAAAACGCATAAATCAAAGTAATCTTTGGTCAAATGAATTAGTGTCTCACAGCTACCTGGACACTTTTGCTCCAAAGGAGAGTGAAAATGGATTTGTTTTGATTTGGAGCTGCTAATGGCATTAACAATGAGGCTAAAGCTACCAGGATGTCGTGGCGCTGAAATTCCAAAAGAGGAAACGCGAGTGGAAAACGGAATGTTTGGAGTATGAAAAGGAGAGGAGTCAGAGAGAGATGAACGGAGGCCCTGTGTGTGTGTGTGTGTGCGTGCGTGTGTGGTGTGTGTGTGTGTGTGTGTGTGTGTGTGTGTGTGTGTGTGTGTTTTAACAGGGTGGGGTTACAGAAAACAGGTTGATTAAAGCCTGGACATGTATCATGAGACGTAGAGACAAGCTTGGATGTCATCATCCCAAAACATGAAGATAAAGCAACGATCTTCACTCAGCTGCCTCCCTAATGTTCTCGCTTTTTAGTTTAAGTAAAAGTGAAGCAATGAGGGTGTTGTAAATGCGCTTGCATCATTGTTTGGTGTCTCAACACCAACTGAGCTCACCATTGAGCTGCTCTCCCAAAACCCGATGGCCTGTGCCAGCAGAGCCCATGGACAGGAAACACTTGGCAGAGGGGCAGGTTTCAGTCTCATCTAGGTCAGTTTATAGAAACTGTTCATGCAGCACCTTTATGATTTTGGTTTCTGATTCAGTGAGTCTGAGTGTGGTTTAGAAAATAGCTTTTCTGTCTATTTTTGGCACCAGAAGTGTTTCATGATGTTTCCACCTCGCTCCGATTTGCTTTCTGTAGCTTCTGTATCTTGAATTCTGTTTCTAAGCCACATCATTTCCCTTTAACCCGTGCCTTTGTTGACATTTGAATCATCGCATGCATCAAATAGTCCTGGTTACTCTGTTTAGCACGGGCAGATCAGGAAAACAAAGGCTGCATTCTCAGCTCATCCGTTCTTTTGTTGTTGTAAATGCAGCACGTACATCACATGTGATCTTAGTTACTCTAACGGCCACATGTGGAGATAAATGTGCCGCCTGTGTCGAGCGAGCCAAATGGATTAGATGTGTGTACCGTTGAACACCGAGGCCCGGTTCAGCTGCAGGAAGGTGCAAGCGCGGCACGCCACGTGCACGACCTTGGTTGCAAAATCAGTGATGTCTTTGATTCAGCTTCACTTCGATGCTGACCAGAAACACCAACACACTAGGGCTGCCGCAATTAGTCAACTTGCCACGTCGACAAATAAAAATAGCCATCTATTAATTTAATAGTCAACACGTCGTTTATTTTAAAAACATTTTTTAAATCTCGTCTGCTGCGGCACGTTTGGCGGTGGCTTCCTGCCTTTGCCGCCGCTTTGGCTTCGAGGCACATGCGCAGTAGCGGCCATCCAGGTCAGCCTTCGTCACCGGAGAAGAAAAACATGGCGAGTCTGCAACGTAGCTCAAACGTTTGGGACATTATACAAATTCAAAAGAAAGGAATATAGAGTTCAAACTCTGCTGAGTGAAACTCTCCATTCACGGAAGCACATCAGCGATACACGAGCACCTTAAGAGGAAGCACGTCATGGCGGAGAACAAAGAGTTGACCTCTTGTTAGCTGCTAACATAGCTGTAGCAACACCAGTAGCGGTGGCGATTTTATTACCTTTAGAACATGTGTGTATGTCACGTATTTTTGCTCTAACTAAAGTGCTCCTCTTCAACGGACGAGTTTGTTACGCACACCCCAGCAAGCTAACATCCTGAACGAGGTCACTGTGAGCGCGTTGGCCACGAGACTTCTGTCCATGCCGAGAGGTCAGGGTTTCAAAGAGATGATCAAGCAGCTCAACCCAGGATACCACGACAACGACCTACCAGACCGATCCCATTACACCACCATGATGGAAACGAACGATGAAATAGCCTTTAAGAATGGAAGATGAAGCGCTTCAACCTTGCCACCATGCCTCTTGTGAACACAAGCCATTTCTGTGTATGATTTATTTTTGGTTTTAGGTGACTACCTCCATCTGACTGTAGCATTTATAACAGGTTACAAAGCTAATTAAATGTTTAATAAGCTACCATCTTGTCTTTATTATTAGATGCCACATAACTGATCACACTTCAGACTAGAAGCTAATGATGGTATAATAGAGCATCCTGGTGCAATATAAGCTATGCTTTTATCAACGACACGATTAGTCGACTATTAAAATAGTCATTTGTGGCAGCTCTAGCGCACACACACACACACACACACACACAAATTGAATGTGATAAAGCTGAATAACAGCTCTTGTGAAGGATCAAACATCAGGATGGATATTTTCACCCCAGATCCCTACGTATCCATGTCAGGCTCTGGCAGCAGGCGGCACACTAATGCCTGTGTGCTGCCTGCTGATCAAATACTGCTAGTGTTTCATAACATTCAACCCCTTTGTGTCTGTGTGCACTCAGTCTCTGCAACACTCTCCCCCAGGTTGCCCCCACCACACACACACACACACACCACCCATGTAAATGTGTCGGGCAGCATTAACCCAATCACCAAAAACAGCAGAATTATTCAAAGCAAATGCAGCAACACCAGGGTCCTCTTCCAGTAAACAGTCTTTGTTATTCTTCTAATCCCCAGTAACTCAGAGAATCCTCACTCTACCACATGAATCAGGAGGATGTAGAAAACCTTTATTTTGATGGCTGTCACTGAAACATGTTTTATTCTGCCAGTTTGTGTTTGTATCGAAAATGACAGAAGTCCATCCCTGGACATGCATCTGTACCCTGATCACAGTTGGAATCCATTCTCAGCTGATCGATCTCTCCAAACACAAAAACGGCTCCAACCCAGGCGGTGTTGCACACACATCAAGCTGAAACTGTGCTAACAGATTGCACCAGATTTTACAATATTGTGTGGGATTGCACACAATGTTTAACTTTAACATCATTTCTCAACATAAGATGAATTCAATTTGAAGATCGTGACCTGAAAAGCAGCAGGTGTGAATCCAATCACAGGTTCCAGGCTTTTAATTCGAATTTTTTAAAATTATTTCAGTTTTGCCTGTATGTACTCGATTACATTTACAGTCTGTCAGCTCCTGTTTTTTGTCCACCCTACTTAATTGTTTTCAGTAGATTTGTATTGCTTTAACTAACAACATTGAAATGTTTTTATATGAGGAACAGCTAAAGAGAAAATGTTTCAGAAAAAGGCGAGCTGGCCAGTCACTCAAACAACTGAGTAAACACAAACAAAACGTTTAATCTCAGTCTCACTCGTGTGGGATTTGATGTGACTAAAAATCTAATCACTGGCTTTAAAAAATCATCAGCAAATAGAAGAAAGACAAAAGCTCTCCACACAACAACGTGACCACAGCAGCAAACAAAGATGTCCATAATAACGGGGAGGCTCGGTAATGTTGGATATGAAACAGAATACTGTCTGTATTAAAATATGAACCATCATTCTTTTGTTTTCTAAATACTATACATAATTAGGAACAAGGGGGGCAACATGTTCCTGTCCAAGAGAACAATCTGTACCTTTCAGAATAAAAGCAATTTAACTTCCTTTATGCAAATTCTAATTTAAATGTTTTGAATTGAACTAGAATTAAACCATAGTACTTTATTTGAATAAATCCTGCTGTATTCCTGGCACCTCTGAATGTACACAGTGTCCCCCCCGCGCATGCCTGGCTGTGTTTATTTCTGGAAGGAAGCTCACAACATGGCCGACATGTGCTTTGTTATTGTTAGTACAACATCGTGTCCCTCGGACTCGGAGGGCAGTTTCTCATCTCCTGCACCACTCAGAACAAACACCGTGGTTAAAAAGGGACACTGGTCCCAAATTTCAGCCTGGTTTGACACAAACTGAGGACTAAAAACACGCAAAAATAAACCCCACTCACCATTTGATGATGATGATGGCCATATGGAATATTTGTTTCTTGAAAAAAGGCACTGAGGGCAGTCTAAAAGGAAACACAGGCAACATTACATAATTATAGGTCTACAAACTGAAGGGATTAAAACGACGGTTGTTTCTGACGCGTCGTGTATCAAGTCACGTTGGATAACAAAAGAGTAGACCAATCTCACGGTAGACTAAACTGTGTATTGTGTCAAAGTACTGGTTTGCAGGTTAGTCGGTAACACGGCGATCATCTTTATTGCGTAATAGCCTAGCCTTTACGTTGCTGTCATGTGTCGGATTATAGTATTTAATCCGGAGTGAAGTCTGAGTGGATGTGCTTTGCCCCTCTCTGTTGGGCTGTGTCCCCAAATCTGGTAAAAGAAATGATAAATTCCCTTTGAATAAAATAAAAGTTAGGAAACTGAAATGCTTTGTTTTTGGACGGAACAAAAAGTGTTGTGGCTGACAAGTGGGTTCGAGACCGAACTAATGGTTAAACATAAACATTAGCTTAGCGGCTAACGCTGCCTTGACTCTAACCGTGGCTGAAGCCGGGTCCCTCTTTACCTCGAACTGCCAATGTGCCGCTTGCAAAAGCTGCTTCGCTTGGTCTGCCGCACAACCCGCCGTCAGGACGAACTGGTTAATCATGACTTGGTGTTTTAGTTCATCCATTTTCCACAACACCCGTGTCCTACTTTACTGCGGCTGCTGGCGCTGAAGCAGACTTCTCGAACGTTTTTCCTCCTCTTTCTTCTTATTCTGCCCCGTTGTATTCCGTCCCACTGCCTCTCACTCGTCCACCATTACAGCCGGTTGAGCAAACACAAATATTTACTGTAGGAGCGGTGGTGGAAGGGAACGCGGCGTGATTGACAGCAGCTCGCAGCCAATCGCGAGGCCGCATCGCCGGTGGGAGTTGTAGGCTGCCAGCGAACGGTCTCGTATCGGTTCGTGTTTCACTGTCAGTTCTGGGTCTATTGTCGCTGTTCGGACACAATTTAAACTGGAATCAATCTTTACAGGAGGTAATGGTTTTAAACAGGGCAGATTGGTGACGACTACGTCGCCGCATGATGATAAACTCCAAGTGGAGGAGCGTTAGACTGTTTGTTTTGGACTACAAATCCCATGAGCACTCGCTTTGTTTGTAAAGCTTCAGAAGGTTGACCTTTGTGAATGACGGCCTCTCTCGTCCAATTCCCACGCGCGCTGGGTCGCCTACTTGCCAAATATGGTAAACAAATCCACTACCGCCAATGACATCGCTCGGCGTTAAATTAGGGTATTTCCAGAGGAAAAGTATATATGTCGATGGTTTAGACAAGACGATTCAAATAGTCACTACAAAACAAATAATACAAAATAGCTCTAGTTTTATCAAAATATATCCATGATTTGTCAGCTTTTAGGTCTTAAATACAAAATGTGATTATCTTCTTAAAATGCTTACATAATCCTCGAAATGCGTCTGAGACGATTATCGCCATTAATGCAACAACATCAAAATGTATCTGCTATCTTAAGAGACTGAGGTCAGTAAAGGTGACATACTAATATGGCACCCGTTTAATGTGCACAGCACGTGTAAATCGCGCACTGTGGATCTGAGCACGCGCTGCTCAGACTTGTGGTTAGTGCAAAATGTAAACATTGTAGTTTGTCACAGCTGTTAGAAGACTCAGAAAAGAGAGAAAGCATCGACACCTGCTGGTAGAAAGGAGAACTGCAGAACATGTTTACCAGTGAGAATGAAATCACAGAATAAAACCTTGGAGGTTTGGAACTTATTCCTGTCCTCTACACGTGGACATGGAGTTCCATACCTTATTATAATGAAGTAAACAAGGAGCAAAAATATTAAATGTTTTGTGATAATCTGTAGGACATTGTAGGCCATCTTCAGTGCAGGAATGCTCCATTTTTGTGTAAGTTATAGATTTTAGCAATGGTTATATCAAGTAATTTCTATCAATTCTAATGAATAAATCTTTAATTTATCAGAGAATTTAAGATCTTTAAAATTTTTGGAGAATTTTACCAACAATTTTAGTTTTGCAGATCATTGTTGCAGAAATCAATAAGAGGCTTGGCATTCCTTGAAACATATCAGAGTGTTTAATTGACATTTAATGATGACAAATTATAGTTTTAACACTGTGGGTCAGGTTTTGAGTGCAATGCATGATCTGTTAGCGCCTTCGGGATATGCATTGTGAATGACACAGAGTTAAAACCACAGCAAATCATAGTAAATCAAAGTCAAAGTCAGTTTAATTGTCACTTCTGCCACATGTACAGGACATACAGAGAAATGAAATTACGTTACTCTCAAACTCTCGCTAGATAGAAAATAAACATTTAGTATAAAAACAGTAACCAAGTTCAGAGAGACTGTGGGGGAAAAGAGAAGAGAGTTGGGAGAGCCAGGAGGGAGTTTAGCTTCCTAACGGCCTGATGGATAAAGCTGCCCTTCAGTCTGTTGGTCCTGGCCTTGAGACTCCGCAGTCTCCTCCCTGACGGCAGCAGCTCGAAGAGGCTTTGCATTGGGTGAGTGGGATCAGCCGCAATGCGAAGGGCCTTTTTTGTGAGGCGGGCACTGTAAATGTCTGGTATGGAGGGGAGAGAGACCCCAATGACCTTCTCTGTTGCTCTCACTATACGTTGGAGGGTTTTAATGCATGAAACGTTGCAGGCTCCGTACCACACAGTGATGCCGCACGACAGGATGCTCTCGATGGTGCCTCTGTAGAAAGTGTACAGGATGGGGGCTGGTGCTCTTGCTCTTCTTAGTTTGCGGAGGAAGAAGAGACGCTGCTGTGATTTCCTCGCCAATGCTATGGTGTTGTTCGTCCAGGAGAGATCCTCTGTAATGTGCACACCCAGGAACTTGGTGCTGCTCACTCTCTCCACAGACACACCGTTGATGGTCAGAGGAGCATGCTGAGTGTGTGCTCTCCTGAAGTCCACAACAATCTCCTTGGTCTTCACCACATTTAGAGAGAGGTTGTTGTCAGCACACCATGTGGTAAGGCGGCTCACCTCGGTCCTGTGTTCAGTCTCATCCCCGTTGTTTATGGGACCCACCACCGTTGTGTCATCCGCAAACTTGATGAAGAGGTTAGAGCTGTGCAATGGTGTACAGTCGTGGGTCAGCAGAGTAAAGAGGAGGGGGCTCAGCACACATCCCTGGGGGGCCCCCGTGTTTGAAATGATGGTGCTGGATGTGTTTCTGCCGACCCGTACTGCTTGTGGTCTTCCAGTGAGGAAGTCCAACAGCCAGTTACACAGTGAGGTGTTGAGACCCAGCTGGACCAGTTTTTGAGTAAGCTGTTGGGGGATGATGGTGTTGAATGCTGAACTAAAGTCTATGAACAGCATCCGGACATGTGAGTCTTTTTTGTCCAGATGTGTGAGTGCTGAGTGGAGTGCAGTGGAGATGGCATCATCGGTCGAGCGGTTGGGCCGGTATGCAAACTGGAAGGGGTCCAGGCAGGGGGGCAGAACAGACTTGATGTGTTGCATGACTAACCGTTCGAAGCACTTCATAAGGATGGGAGTAAGTGCAACAGGACGGTAGCCATTAAAGCAGGAGGGAGATGATGTTTTTGGGAAAACATCATGAGCGAGCATCATACGACACTGAGCTAACACAGCCAGTATCATTGAAAAGGCTGTGCTGTTATTCTGTTTACAGTGAAAGTGGGTTAGAGTTAACGTCTTCATCATCATTTATCCGGCACCTTCCACCACCTTGAGCAGAAGATCAAGGTGCTGAACAGAACAATAAAAAGCAGTTGCATTACTAAACACAATAAAAGATCAAAAAATAAAACACAATGAAAACAGATAAAAACAACAACAATGAAACAATTACGTTCAAGACAAAATTGCCTGGATATAATAACGGGTCTTCAGACATGACTTCAAAATTTGGAAGGAAGAATCAGCTCTTTTAAACTTTGCTCTGTACTGCACGGGAAGCCAGTGGAGTTCCGCCAACGCCGATGTAATATGGCCAAAAATCTAGCAGCTGAATTCTGAACCAGCTAGGCGAGTAATCGCACCCTGACTCAGACCCACATACATTGCATTGCAGTAGTCGAGTCTGGACAGGACAAAGGCATGAATGACAGACTTTGAATGCAGCTTGTGTTTACGATTTGTAGTGGAGTGTGTACTGACATCTGATAAGACTGACCAGGATGTTTAGATCTGCTCAAAAGTGACCAACAGCAGCCTCCTTTTCCATTCAGCCCATGAACTAGTCACCCTTCTTCCTTCAGGCAGAAGACTTGAGTTTCTTCAAAACAGAAACATTTTGAATGCCATTTATCTGAGTTGATTTTAAAGCTTCACACCCATCTAGATTGAAAGTTGGTGTCATTTTGCTAGGATCTGTCCTCTTATTTGATGAAAAAAATAGTCAAATGAGGAAAACAAAACAGACATTTTGTAGGTTGTGGGACTGTTTCAGGACAAGAAGTCAGAAGATGATGAGTTTTTTAAAAAATTTTATTGTAGAAATAACCCCTCACCAGATTTCTGTTAGCGCTTGGACTCTGGTGCAGCTGCAGTGTGGTATTAAATCCACATGGTGGCACTGTTTTCCCGTGATTAGCAGCATTTGATTGAGGCTCTTTAACACACCACTAAGTCCAACAACTGGCCAATACATACTTGTTTGGTAAAGCTGAATTGACTCATTGTGGTAAATATGTTAACAAAAACTGATTGTAATCTTGCACGTACGAGTTCTGCAACAAATGCCCAATTTATTAGAAAAGAAAACCTTTAAATGTTGTTTGATTGGCGTACTTGCACATCATTCTAAAACAAACTCAAATTTAAGTGGGGTGGTTTCAAACGGATTTAACAGAACGCTGTTGCTTTTGAGTCCTTCTTGCTGCGCATGTTGGTCAGAATTCAGGCGAGTTTAACCTCAAAAACTTTTATGCTGTACAGCCTGAGTATATTTGTTGTGAACACGACTTCTGCCTAAATCGCGGCCCCTCTGTGAATTGAATGAGATTTAAAAAAAATGACGCATAAGCTTGCTCAGCTGTTTTTTGTTTGCAGACGCAGAGTGGGACATGTGGCGCGTCTTCTAGCGCCAGCTTTACGCGCGCCATGAGCTCATATTTCAGCCCGTTTCCAATCCGAATCACAGATATAAAAACAAAGAAGTAATTCGTACAAGAAAGCGCACCACCCTTGAAAGTTTAACATTTAGAAGTAAAACAAAGACAGGAGGATGGAGGTAATTAAAATAGAGTAGACAGCCACACACACACACACACACACACACACACACACACACACACACACACACACACACACACACACACACACACACACGCAGGAGATCCCCGTCGCATGAGTGCTCCTAAGTGTCTCCTTTCTTTTTCTTGTATTTAAACCCCCTCCTCTTCCATATGCGCTGGCTGCGCCTCGCCCTCCCCCCACCGCACTTGTTGCGCACAAACTAGATGCGCTGCTGAGTCCTTGGAGAGGAGAGACAGGGAAGAACAGCAACAGGTGTACACAGAGCATCTCCGCCAGCCACGCGCCAGGAGGAGAGCGTTACCGCGTCGCTTGTCGGGGGATGAATGCAAATGTATTATCTCTGGTGGTTTAACTGAAGTCAGAACGGTTGTTTAATTCATAAACTTTTATTTTCTGCTCTTTTTTTAAATTTAAATGTCAGTCTAAAGACCCTTCAAGGCTACAGCGCGTGCGTAAATTCCAGGATGCCAGTTTTGACGAGCCCAGATATAGCCAACAAGTTCAAAGAGAGGTGGCTCGCGGTGTTCCCGGAGGATCAGGTCTTGGACTCCGCTCCCCTGGACGACAGTCTCACCAGTCTCCACTGGCTCCAGAATTTCTCAATCATCAGCACGGACCCGGAGCGACCCAACGCCGCCGGACCCGGATGCCCTTCCTCGCTACAGCACCACTTCCTGAGACGTCTGGGCTTCCCCAGAACGGGCACTGACTCTCCTTCTAGCCCACCGGCCGGAGACACAGCCGCCAGCGGGATGTCTCTGCACCCCGGGAGCCCCTTCACGTCCGGTAGCGACTCCCAGCGGTTCCCGAACTGCGCGCACCCAACACCCGGCTATCCGCAGATCCCGCTCCAGACAAGCCCGCAGGTGGAAGTGGACTACAAAACTAACCCTAAAGTTAAACCACCGTACTCCTACGCCTCTCTCATATGCATGGCCATGCAGGCCAGCAAACAGCCTAAAGTGACTCTGTCCACCATCTACAACTGGATCACAGAGAATTTCTGCTACTACAGACACGCTGAGCCCAGCTGGCAGGTAACCGAGACCGGATACGTCCCTCTTTATAATTTATGAGGCTGATAATGCTGAGGTGAGGGAGGGAAGGCAGAGCAATTGACTCCAGTGTCACCATCACACACATCTTCCTTAAGCCAGGCAGAGTTACCCTAACAAAGATAAAATCAGGCTTCTGCCTCTGTCCAAGGCTTAGGCTTCACATTTGATCGGTTCTATCATTTAAAGTGACCCTCAGATCTCTTACCTGATGAACATGTGAACAGCCTCTGTTCAAAGAAACAGAGACAAGTTTTGATCTTTGAAAATCTAACAGCCTGTCACATTTGGTAGGTTATAATATTATTGCAGCCATGAAAAAAATCTTTAAAACGCTGGTTTATGCTGCCAGTGTCTTGGAAACCTTACACCATGACACTCAGTTATTTACATCACAGTATTTAGTTTTCACACCAGAGCATTCCTTGTCAGACTTTTACATTTCTGCCAGCATAATTGATAAGGATTGACAAGGGTTGATAAACGGACATGATGACGAGGTGAAAATGCCCTCACACAATTAAAGCTGTTTTAGGATGACATGTAACTGGATTCACTCTAACCCCATCGGGTCAGAATTAGACTCTTTATTCTCCAAGTTGAAGTTGTTGAAAAGGTATGTAGTTTTCTGAATAATCTTTCCATAGTTCAAAAGGTCGAACTAGCCCTTTAAATTCATATTCTTTACAAAATATGGCAGTTGGACAAAAGAATATATTTAAGAAACAATCATTTTAGTTGTTATTTGCAGAACTGTAGCTCACAGATGACAACACGGTCTAAAATACACAAAGTTTGGGTCAAAAGCATTTATGAGACGAAGTAATTGGCTCACATGGCATAATTTAGAGGTTATTAGCATTGGGTGGTAATTTTAAAGGAATGCATTAAAAGCTGTCATGTTTAGTCAAATCAGTCAGACAATAAAAGAAGGTGTGAACATTCATAAACTATGACTTGGCCAAACATTTACACATACATCCTCGTATTATTGCTAAATCTAAATAACTAGAGTCTATATTTAGATAGTTACATATAGCTGTTGAAATATGAAAACAGTTATTTTAAATAGAAAACATGTCAATTCAAACTGCAGTAAGTGTTTTCTCTGACTGCACCATCTAGAGGCTGAAAAATGGATCACAATTTCAGTTGGAAGCAACGCCCCTCATTCGTGGACACACACCTAGATGGCCAATAGAGCTAAAAACCCTTTTTTTTACAGTTATTATTCTCACATCATGCTGTTTAAATAATAACTATTCCATGAGAAAAGTAGTCAACTTTGACATATATGTAAGCGGATGTCTAACACTATTAGCTAATACTGAGCAGCGTAAATTCAAAATAGCATGGGGCTCTATGGGATGGGGACAAGCTTAGCAAAAAAAAAAAAAATATATATATATGACGAAATACAAAAAAACAAAAAAAAAACACACACACACAACAGTAAAAAGGGAGCCTGAGTCTCCTCCCTTTCCGGTCAGCTCACGGGTCCCTGGGAGAACGAAAAAAAGAATGCAAGTCAATGAGGCTAAAAACGCTATTTTCTAATCCGCTTTGCCCTACACCCTGGACCGCACATATGTTGAACTTAGATTTAAATGAAAAGTAACGATGGGTTTTTCGACCACGCCAGTCATGTACTTTGAGATATACCAGCTTGTAGAAGTTCGTAATTAGTATGACTACAAATTAGACATCGGCATGCTGCACAAATGACGTTACGACAGAATATCTTCTCCCCTAGCGTAGCTGCTACTTACCACATGGCCAGATTTGTGGTGGTTCTTTCTTCCTGAAGGAAGGATTGGAAGTTCACTAAACTTACGGCCATTTTCCCAGTTTTTCTCCGTGTCTGGTTCGATGACGTCACTTTCGTAAAGCGCATTTGTAGTCCTGGACTTATTTTCACACAAAACCTAAAATAACATTTCCCCCCATTGGAAAATAAGCGTGTTCTTGCTATCAAAATGTGTCTTTAAAATTCACAGACATCATATGTGAAATCCATGGAGCAAAACAAGCGGAATTAGAAAATAGCGTTTTTAGCCCCAATTCATTTTTTTGTTCTTCTGGGGACCCATGATGCGGTAGATGGGCATGACTTAGGCTCCCTTTAGGGCCGGATACATGACAGCATACCCCAGAAAAGTGCTTTGCCCTCTGTTGTCCTGGCAGGGAATTGCTTTGCAACACTCTCCAGGGGACGGGGAAGTCTGAGAGCAAAACGTCTGCATCAATGCATGTGCGTCTCTCCCTCGTGGAGCTGATGCAGAAGCCTAAACTAGGCTTAACCCAGCAGTTTCAGTGCGAGTTCTGATGTGTGTGTGTGTGTGTGTGTGTGTGTACATGTGTGTTAATGAGGGCTCCTGAGAGAGATGCAGCTAAGCACAGCTGATCGTGTTTGAAATGCACAGAGCTGCCTGTTACTAGAAAGCCTCATTAGGCACATTTGCTTTTCTATACAAACAACAACAATGCCCCCAACGCCCACTCTGCTGTCTCCCTGACAAATTGGCATTTTTAGTTCTCGCATGACTGCCTTGTTTTGTCCATGTTTAATCATCTCTTTTTCTTGTCTTGACACAGAACTCGATTCGTCACAACCTGTCCCTCAACAAGTGTTTCAAGAAGGTCCCCAGGCAGAAGGACGAGCCAGGGAAGGGAGGCTTCTGGCAGATTGATCCGCAGTATGCCGACATGTTTGTCAATGGCATCTTCAAACGTCGAAGGATGTCCGCTAACCAGTACAGCAACAGCAGTGCCTCCCAAAGACCAAATAAACTGGTTCCAAGTTACGACAGCATCCAAGACACCTGCTCTTTTCCGGGAGTGGGCAGCAAACGAAAGCATCTACCCTCTAAAAGCAACAAGCCAGTCAGAGCCACCGAGTCCCCTCTTCTAGTGATGGAAGCTAACAAAATGGACCTCCTCAAGGGGGACTTTGACTTGGCATCTGTGTTCGACGACGTTCTGAGCGGGAACTGCAGCACCTTTGAGGACTTAGACATCAACACGGCGCTCAGCTCCCTGGGCTGTGAGATGGAGGTTTCCATTCATGGGAGGCAGCACCCCGCGGGACTGGGGAGGTGGTGTGGAGCAGGTGATGTAATGAGTCCGAGCCAGCACATCAGCCACCATCAGTCCTACGGCTACCTGGACCTGAGTGCTGCTTCCATGGAGTGCTCGGTGAGCATGGGAGAGCTCCATGCATCCCAGCAGCATCCGCTGCTGAGGCAGCAGCAGCTGGACCAAGACCAGCCGCTCCAAGGTCAGCACCATCTGCAGCATTTTGACGAACCAACCTCTCTGTTCCCAGAGCAGTCAAGAGAGGCTGTGCTCCAGCCATGGGAGGAGATTAAAGAAGAAGCGCAGGCTATTCCTCTGACCCTGGATCAGGGATTTGGTCTGTATGAGGGCTTCTTCACGGAAATGCCGCCTTGGGAATAAGCAGAGAGTTATCTGTGACTTTGTCACATCAAACTACTGTGCGGACAGTCTTGTAGGAAAGAATAACACCACTACCAAAACTTCTAGTCCTTTACAATCACTCTGCAAGAGTCCACAACTTTTGAATGACACCGATCAGCTGTAACACGACGAGCATGGACCTGATTACTAGCAGGTCGTTGGGGGATCTACTGACTCATCAGGGTGTGAGGTCCTGCCACGCTTGTTACTGATACATTAACAACTTTTTGATGCTGTAGGTTGAGTGATGGGGTTTCTGCGTTCTCAGAGAGGCATCTATGGAGCTTCGAGGCTCCTTAAACACATCAAACTGTTGTCAGGCTGGTCGAGTTGTTCCTTATTTTGGCATGGGTGGGGGGATTGTCCTGTGATTTCTCTGCAACAATATCAGTAAGTTCACGAGGCCGGTATCTGACTGAAGTTCGTCTCAAACCCTTGCAAAGGATCAGTTTCCTCTGCATCGTGATGCTTACATTTTCAACATGTTCAAACAGTCATTTAAGGGGCTTCCCCCCCTCGGCACAATCAGTTTGTGTTTTTGTACGTAAAAAGTGAGAAACGAGAGAGAACTCTGTTAGGGGTTGGCGACCACATTGTTAAGGCCAATCTGGGGAAATCGTGAAAGAAACCGAGACAACCAAGATGCATTGGAACTAAATTTTGATTGTCCAAATGTTTTTACACAACCTGTTGCAAATATTTTTCATGTACCAGTTCAGTGTAATTGAAACTGAAAAACCCCGCATACTTTTCACGATAAGGTTGAACCAGTCTCAGCAACGTTGGAGGGAAGGATGCAGGTTGTAAACAGTTCTAAAAAGACAAGTCTCATTTGACCTGAAAGTTAAGGGTGATAATTTTTTGAATGCAAACCTCATAAGAGCCCATTTCCTAACAGAGGCTGGTGGAATATTAAGTTTGGTAATTGTTTGCAGACTTGCTCTCTTTTATTTTATTTTGTTGTGTCTTGTTGTCAAAACTGATTTCAGAACAACTAAACCTGCATCTGGACTCGCGTTTCTTCTAAATCCAAGACTTTTATGCGAGTTCAGCTAGAAATGAGAGGGAAACATTCACCAGATATTTTCTCCTTAAGGTGGAACTTCAGGAATAGCAATACGAAGACTCTTTTATGAAAGTCGCAGTGACAGGAGAGGAAAGCCGAACATCCACTGTCGAAGCACTCCAGTGAGGAGCACCGTCTCTTGAGAAACTGATAAAACACCAGATTTTATTGTGCTACATTAGCATCATTTTTTTTACTGACATACAGATAAATCATTCCTATTATTACTGTAGTTGAAAGATGAAGTTATCAAATCTAAATGAAGAGTTTTAAACTTAAGATCATAGGAAGACATTAGAAATCAGTCACATTTGACATTGTTGTAAAGTTGATTTAATATATAAATATTCAATAATGAGTACAGCATGGAGCTTGGCTTCAATCAGTTTTACAAATCAGATGGACGAGCAAGCAGAGGAGAACATGAGCTGAGTCATGAAATCAAACATTATGCACTTTGATGGGCAGCAGTTCTAGCAGAGTGGCAGATCTGATCAGGATGTTTTAGTTTGGCATGATTTGCATTTTATGCTTGCTCTTGTTTTCAGAACACTGAACTCAACTCTGCAATAATTTAAGCAGGCAAATGCTTCAAATGACATAAAAACACACATAAAAGTGGGTTTTTAATTATGACGAAGCACCAGATCTGTTGAGGAATATGCAGTTTGTTGTTGTTTTTGTGTCTGTAATGAATAATAAGAAAAGAAGATTCTGATTTCTTGACTGGAGTGACAGATTTTTGTTTTTATCCTTACTAATTATGTTTGCGTAGTTCTTTTCTTTTTTAATGTCTAACTTTTTTGACACATCAGATCATTTATAGATTATGAGCGGTTTGGCAACAATACACATTAATAGGCTAGACTTTTTCACTGCATCAGATTAAACATTGTTGATCTCACCACAAGTTTATTTTTACTTTTTTAAAGCTGTTTGAAAATGCAATCATGCCTTAATGCAATAAATGGTGTCAATTAAAGAAAGGGCTGCAATGGACATTTTTATTTGGGATTTTAAATGTTAAAACTTCAGCTTCACACTTTGAGAGATGAAAAGACTATCTAGTTTATAATTAATCAGTACTAACAGGTTTAGACTTGTCTGGTGTTTGAGCCAGACCACTGGGAGGATAGAACATATATGCATTACTACATTTAAACTATGTAATTCCTTAGCACTCCATGTATTTGACTGGGATACCTCTGATCTGCTACCGCCACAAATGTTAGATTAACATCTGTTAAGCTAACTGAGTCCTAGCCAGAGTTAGAGCACCAATCAGAACACCAGCCTGATATCTACAGATCTCAAACAATCACACCTCATGACTGTTGTAAATATACTCTGTGGCCTCCTTGAACCGTCACCTTATCGTGGTGGAGGAGTTTGAGTGCCCTAATGATCCTAGGAGCTATGTTGTCTGGGGCACTTAGTGCCCCTGGTAGGGTCTCCCATGACAAATTGGTCTTAGGTGAAGGGTGAGACAAAGAACGGTTCGAAGGATCTTTCATGGTGGTTAAAACGAAGAGTCGGAGTACCCGGCCCGGAGGGTTACCGGGGTCCCACCCTGGAGCCAGGCCTGGGGTTGGGGCCCGTGAGCGAGCGCCTGGTGGCCGGGCTTTCGCCCATGGGGCCCGGCCGGGCCCAGCCCGAACCGGATACATGGGCTCGTCCAACTGTGGACCCACCACCCGCAGGAGGAACATGAAGGGTCCGGTGCAATGCGAATCGGGTGGCAGACCAAGGCGGGAGCCTTGGCGGTCCAATCCCCGGACAAGAAAACTAGTTTTTGGGACATGGAACGTCACCTCGCTGGCGGGGAAGGAGCCGGAGCTTGTGGCAGAGGTTGAGCGGTACCGGCTAGATATAGTCGGACTCACCTCGACACATTGCATTGGCTCTGGAACCCGAGACCTGGAGAGGGGTTGGACACTCTACTTTGCTGGAGTTGCTCCGGGTGAGAGGCGGAGGGCTGGGGTTGGCTTTTTGTTAGCCCCGAGACTCTCTGCCTGTGTGTTGGGGTTTACCCCGGGGGACAAGAGGGTAGCTTCCTTGCGCCTTCGGGTCGGGGAACGGGTCCTGACTGTTGTTTGTGCTTATGGGCCAAATATCAGTTCAGAGTACCCACCCTTTTTGGAGTCCCTGGGACGAGTGCTAGATAGTGCTCCATCAGGGGACTCCATTGTCCTGCTGGGGGACTTCAATGCTCACGTGGGCAATGACAGCTTGACCTGGAGGGGTGTGATTGGGAGGAACGGCCCACCTAATCTGAACTCGAGCGGTGTTTTGTTATTGGACTTCTGTGCAAGCCGCAGTTTGGCCATAACGAACACCATGTTCGAACATAAGGATGCCCACCGGTACACTTGGTACCAGGGCAGCCTAGGTCACAGGTCGATGATAGATTTTGTAGTCGTATCATCTGACCTGCGGCCGTATGTTTTGGACACCCGAGTGAAGAGAGGGGCGGAGCTGTCAACTGATCACCACCTGGTGGTGAGTTGGATCAGATGGCAAGGGAACATGCCGCGTAGACCTGGCAGACCCAAACGCATAGTGAGGGTCTGCTGGGAACGCCTGGCAGAAGAACCTGTCAAGACGGTCTTCAACTCCCACCTCCGGCAGAGCTTTGACCACGTCCCGAGAGCAGTGGGGGACATTGAGTCCGAGTGGGCCTTGTTCCACTCTGCGATTGTCGAGGCGGCTGTTGCTAGCTGTGGTCGTAAGGTGGCCGGTGCCAGTCGTGGTGGCAACCCCCGTACCCGCTGGTGGACACCAGAGGTTCGGGGAGCCGTCAGGCTGAAGAAGGAGGCCTACAGGGCGTGGCTGGTCTGTGGGTCTCCGGAGGCAGCAGACAGGTACCGGATAGCCAAGCGGGGTGCAGCAGTGGCAGTTGCCGAGGCAAAATCTCGGGCGTGGGAGGAGTTTGGTGAGGCCATGGAGAAAGACTATCGATCGGCTCCAAAGAGGTTCTGGCAAACTGTCCGGCGCCTCAGGAGAGGAAGGCAGCAACTCGCTCACACTGTTTACAGTGGGGATGGGGAGCTGCTGACGTCAACTGAGGCTATAGTCGGACGGTGGAAGGAATACTTTGAGGAGCTCCTCAATCCTACCAATGCGCATTCCGAGGAGGAACCAGAGCTGGGAGGCCTGGGGATGGACTGTCCGATCTCAGGGGCAGAAGTTGCTGAGGTAGTCAAACAACTACACAGCGGCGGAGCCCCGGGGGCGGATGAGGTTCGTCCTGGCTATCTTAAGGCTATGGATGTTGTAGGGCTGTCATGGTTGACACGTCTCTGCAACATTGCGTGGTCATCGGGGGCAGTTCCTAGGGAGTGGCAGACCGGGGTGGTGGTCCCCATCTTTAAGAAGGGTGACCTGAGGGTGTGTTCCAACTATAGGGGGATCACACTCCTCAGCCTCCCTGGAAAGGTCTACGCCAAGGTACTGGAGAGGAGGGTCCGATCGATAGTTGAATCTCAGATAGAGGAGGAGCAATGTGGTTTTCGTCCTGGCCGTGGAACTGTGGACCAGCTCTATACCCTTGCAAGGGTGATGGAGGGGGCATGGGAGTTTGCCCAACCAATCCACATGTGCTTTGTGGATTTGGAGAAGGCTTATGACCGTGTCCCCAGGGGCACCCTGTGGGGGACGCTCCAGGAGTATGGGGTGGGTGGCTTTCTGTTAAGGGCCATTCAGTCCCTTTACCAGAGGAGCGTGAGTTTGGTCCGCATAGCCGGTAGTAAGTCGGACCTGTTCCCAGTGAGGGTTGGACTCCGCCAGGGCTGCCCTTTGTCACCGGTTCTGTTCATCACTTTTATGGACAGAATTTCTAGACGCAGCCGTGGTGTGGAGTGTGTCGAGTTTGGTGGCAGGAGAATCTCGTCTCTGCTTTTTGCGGATGATGTGGTCCTCCTAGCTTCATCCAGCTCTGACCTTCAGCTCTTGCTGGGTAGGTTCGCAGCCGAATGTGAAGCGGCTGGGATGAGGATCAGCACCTCCAAATCTGAGACCATGGTTCTCGACCGGAAAAGGGTGGCTTGCCACCTCCGGGTCGGGGGAGAGGTCCTACCTCAAGTGGAGGAGTTTAAGTATCTCGGGGTCTTGTTCACGAGTGAGGGTAGGATGGATCGGGAGATCGACAGGCGGATTGGTTCGGCGTCTGCAGTGATGCGGACGCTGAGCCGATCTGTCGTGGGGAAGAGGGAGCTGAGCCAGAAAGCCAGGCTCTCGATTTACCGGTCGATCTACGTCCCAATCCTCACCTATGGTCATGAGCTTTGGGTAATGACCGAAAGAACGAGATTGCGGATACAAGCGGCCGAAATGAGTTTCCTCCGTAGGGTGGCCGGGCTCAGCCTTAGAGATAGGGTGAGGAGCTCGGACATTCGGGAGGGACTCGGAGTAGAACCGCTGCTCCTCCGGATCGAAAGGAGCCAGTTGAGGTGGTTTGGGCATCTGGTCAGGATGCCTCCTGGACGCCTCCCCGGGGAGGTGTTTCGGGCATGTCCTGCCGGCAGAAGGCCCCCGGGTCGACCCAGGACACGTTGGAGAGGTTACATCTCCAATCTGGTCCGGGAACGCCTTGGGGTCCTGCCGGAGGAGCTGGTGGACAAGGCCGGGGAGAGGACGGCCTGGAGCTCCCTAATTGGGATGCTGCCCCCGCGACCCGGACCCGGATAAGCGGAGGAAGACGACGACGACGACGACGACGACGACGACGGCCTCATAAGAAGACATTCCCTTTTTGCACTAAGATATTTAACAGTTTTTTAAAAATTGTTTACATGCAACCAAATATAATCACAGTTGTCCACACAGCACACTCAATTTGAATCATTCATAGATTGTTTGCAATTTGACACACTTCAGTCAAAACATTTACCCACATTTGTGAAAATGCCAATAGTTTTGATTCAACCAACACACTTCTCACTGATCAGACACCATTGCAGCTAGTGCCACACCGCGGAAATAGCACTTGCTAGACATTTGTTTAGACATTGTTATGTAAGATGAAAAATGGAAAATAGTGACAAACCCACATTCTTTATGATTAGTTTGAGATATAGAGAGAATGTCCACAGACATGTTTGCTATGAATGACCAAGCCTTGCACATCTTTGATGTTGCAGAATGAATATTTAAAGTATTTCCTGTATTTCAACACTCACAATATTTACTATAATGGGATACAGTAATCATCCAACAACAAAATCAATGAAACAAAAAATCTGTAGACAAATAAAAATCACTGCATGAAGACAAATTACTGTAAAAGCAACAAGAGAACTGTAACTATACATTGTTTCTCCATCTGGCTGGATCAGGCCATAAGATCTCACCCACATCACAGGCTAGATCTTCATTGGCCTGGCACCTTTGGAAGAATCAACTCGTATGATGAATGCACCCCTGCACAAAAGCAGCTTCGATTCGATCACAGGCCTGCTCTGTGCCCTGAATAAGGGGCATACGGTCATAGAGCCACAGATAATTTTCCTTCCACCGCCATGCCGAAAACAACTCTTCTATTGGATTGAAGAAAGGGAAGAATGAGGGTAGGTACAAGACGTCAAATTCAGGGTGCTCATGGAACCAATTCTGGACCACAGCAGCCCGATGGGATGAAACATTATCCCAAATGACAATGGGTCCACTTGATGTAATGCTGTGACATTCATGTACAATGGACCTTCTCAGTGGCCTAGTGGTAGAGGTCTGCCCCGGGACTGGGAGATCGGGACTCAAATCAAGGTCGAGTCATACCAAAGACTTTAACAATGGGAGCCAATGCCTTCCTGCTTGACACTCAGCTTTAAAGGGTTGGATTTGGGGGGGGGGGGCACCAAATAGTTCCAGAGCACGACCGCAGCTGAAGCTAACTTTAATATGTCAAGAAATCCAAGTGACATATTTGCAATATAGGGTCCTAGATTTGCATGGTAGTGGAGGACCCCGTTTTGGGTAATAG